TAGAAGGAGGTTTTTGCAGTGCCTTGGTGAGCACATACTTTGTCTGAAAAATGTCTTCCTGCTAAAGAAGCTACTTGTTTTTTTGTTTTGCCTTTTTTTTAATTAAAAAAAATTGTGATGGGTCCACATGCTTGTAAACTTACTCTGTTAATTATGAGTTGAATATAAGAGAATATGGTAAAAACTATCAGGGTATGCAGTTATTTTAAAATCTCCCCTCTAGCAGAGGTTGACACCTCTCTTTTGCATTAGGTGTTGATGCTTAAACCTAGTGATTGCAACAAATTTAGGAAATTTTAATACATGGTGAAAATCTGCAAAAAAAGAGCACAAGTCTTATGAAAGTATATAAAGCAATTGTGTCACTTCAACAGTTTTGATTGGGGAGAGTTTGGAGAAATACTGTTTTTCAGTATGATCCTTTTAAATTAAGGGGAAAAGAGGCTGAAGTTGATGTGGTAAGCTTTAAAGCTGCACCAATTCAAGTTTAAGCCAGAGACATCCTTTCAGAAGGGCATTTTTGTTTATTCACCATTCTAAGAACTCATATAAAATTAGGTTTTATAAATGCAAATGTCATATGATTCTAAATTTGGAACGTTAAGCTTTTGATGGATCGGAGTATATGAATTTTTATAAGAAGTTCTTAATGAAGAAAGAACTAGAAATTAAAGTAGGCCTCTAAATTAATTCTCCTAATTTTCTAAGCTTAATGGAGTGCAGAAAAACCAAATGATGAGAGTAAAGAAAGACCTCTCTTAATGCCCGTTTTATATCATATCTCCTCTGTCACGGGATCTGTGTGTGCATGGGAGTAATAGCTGAAATCAGTGATAGAGGAATAAAATTTTAGTGCAAGGGCCACCTTCCACTAAACCCAGGAGATCTTAAATATCATGTTTCAGGAGTTCAGTGGCATTACAGGTTTCTGAGTGAACTTTATGCCATCTTTAATTTTTCATTTATGAGAAGTGCCTCAGAACCTGTATCTGTTAACTTTCAAAGTTGAGAAGCATATTGTTTGAGAGGGCCTGTGAAGTCATTTTTCCTATTGATTTGCCAGAAAAACTGGAAGCAATTAAATATTACTGATTCTTTTTGTGACCCTGGCATTAAAAATATGTGAGCTTCATGAGGAAAACAATACAGAACATGGACTGTACTGTATATTTTACTTTCTTTCTAAATAGGTAGTAACCAGAAACTACAAAGAAATGGGCTTGTAAGCAAAAGAAATAAAATCCCTCATTTACCATTTCTATTTTAATTTATTATTTTGTGCAAATACATTGAAGTCAGTCATGAAACACTGATGATGTTGGTGAAGTGGAAAAGCAGGTTAGCTTTAAGTGCATTACTTCTCAAATAAACCATAGATCAGGAGACTTTTAGTTAGTCCAAGGAAAGAAGGATAAATAGTAATTGAGCACATTTATTATTCATTTGTCTTTGCTTTAGATTTAATTTGGAAATCACTTTGATTGTTAGAACTTCACTAGGAAAAACCTGCTTCTTTATGTCTCTTCATATTTATTTGCTCTTTATTATTGATTTTATGGAAAGTTTGCTTGGGAGGAGTTTCTTAGAGAGTGACGTGGTTTGATGGTGCCAAACACCAAGTGACAAGGAAAAAGGCTAGTAGGAAAAAATACTTGTTTGGATTAGAGTTTTATGTGGTTTTTTTCCCCTAGACTAATATGAGAGAACTAGTTGAGTTTGTGAGGCCTCTAATGGAAACATCATATGTACTTGGCTCCACTGAAGTAACTTTATTGATTTGTGCAGTGAAATCGTCCTTGCAGAACAAGATCTAAGTGATGAGGTTCAGGATTTATAGTAACTTGGTCTGCCAGCTCAGAAGGCTGAAATTACAGCCAAACACTCCTTCTTTATGTTAATATTTTTTAGACAAAAGGTCAAAACAACCCTTTTCAAGCTTGCAGTGAATCTAAAGCCAGCTGAAATGCGGCAGACATTTTGCTTTAGTGATATTTGTTCTGTTTTAGTGGCTCATGGAAAGTCACAAACTCTCAGGCTCCAGTATCAATTGCCAGATTCTGTAGGTGTATATTTTTTTCTACATACAATTTGGTAACTTATTTCCTAGAAAATAGACTTCTCATTCAGAGGGTATATTTTGCTCTTTTCCTTCCCCTAGAATAGTGCTTCTATGTTGTCTGCTATTTCAGGAGGAAAAAGGGCAGTGAAATTTAAGGCTATATCTTGTAGGCCAGTCCAACCATTGGCTGACACAGCATGAAATACACTCATTTCTCACTAAATATGGAATGAATTACCATCATCTCATGTATAATTGATTGCACAGTCACTTTCAGGATATGTGATCATTCTGAGGATATCTTTGAAGTTCTAATTTCTGATTTTTAAAATATATTTGAGAAAAATACACATTAAGAACATTTTCACATAAACACTTTGAAGAGCTAGGTGAAAATATGTAACTTGTTTGGGGGTTTGGTTGTTGTTGAGATAGACATATTTTAGTTAGGTTGGTGGAACCATCTGTACACCTGGGAGGAAAGCCTGCTTTTAACCTAATGTTGGCAGAGCTCTTTGATGAAATGGAAAGAGCAATAGTTTTCTAATTCCATAGGCTTGTGCCATAATCATCACTCAGTTGTGTAACTGGCTGCTAAGTAAACACTTCACTATCCAGGCATAGGAAAGAAAGGGGCAGTTTTGTTCCGTAAAAGCAACAGAGTATATTCCATTGATCAAAACAAACCAAAACCTACTGCTTGGAGTGTAGGAGGATGGAGTTTTTATACTAACCTTGACCTTTACATATGCCTTGGGGGAAGCAAGGTGTTATGGAGCTCCGTGGGAATGTTTGAGGCTGATTGGGAACCGGAGTGCATCCTGCCTTTCTTGCTGACCACAAAAACACATCTTAAGATAGAGAAAGAAAACTTCCTCAGACTTGTAAAATACAAATATGGCTGTCTGTGCTATAAATTGCAAATCAGAGTATGAAGAGTAACTCCTACCCAAAATTTACATCCTCCTGCATGCAGCAGTGAGGGAGAGAATTGGAGCAAAGCTCTGTCCCTGGTGCCTGAGCAGGTTTGCTGTGGTTTAGAACTTTTCTGATTATTTTTTGTGTCGTTTTTTGTTTTGTTCTTAATGTTTTTAATGCGATCTGAGGCAATGTCCAAACAGCAAGATATGACAAATTGGGGCATGCAGCACCACTCCTTGATTTGGTGAAAAGTTTGGTGTGTGCTTGTGCAATCCTTAATTATGCCACTACAGATGATTGTGCAGAACCGAAATTTGTACTGACTTGTATTTGCTCAGGTTTTGTAATAGTGCAAGATAAATGAAACCTTATATATACTGATATTATATTTAAGTCTACTTAATGCCTTATGATGGATGTAATGTGAAAAACTGTACCACAGAGCAGCACTGAGCCCACCGAAAAGCATGATGAACAACTTATAATTTTTTCAATATAAACTTATGCTTTGATTTACAATGCTAATTTGTGCAGATTTTGACAGGCTCTGAATATTATCCTGTACATATGAATATTGCTTGTATAACTTGAATTTTTTTAAAGCAGGTTAAGATTTTGAAAGTTGAGGTTTTCTCCTTTCCATATAAATGTTCTATTAAAAACATTTGTGGTTTATGATCTACATAATGCTTTTTTTGTCTTTTAATAGGTGAATGTCTATGTGCTGGGAAAAACCTTCCTTGTGTTGGCCAGAGAACTCTGCATAAATGCTCCAGCCATAGGTATTTTTTTCACTGATTTGACTTTTGACTATTTGAGTCTTTTATTCCTATGGTTACTTGAAAAGAAATATGTATGTATGTATATATACACACAGTATTGTATGTTAATACTCAAGTAGAAACTTTACAGTGAAGCTGGAATCAATCCAGGCCGAGGAGCATTGCTGACTATAAGAGCCTGTTCTCCTTTATGGAAGAGCTTTTTTGGAACTAGATGCTGTTTTCTTTTGCAAATAGTTTTGTTGCTTTTTCCAAGAATAATTTGGGCTATACTAAGACAATGGACTGACGTGTAACAAATTTGTGTGTGTCAGCAAGCTCCTGCAGGCCTGTCACGCTTCAATTCCACAGATGCAACATTTGATAAGTATTTGCCAAATTTACTATCTGTCCATCACCTGTAGCTGAGCTAGTGCTTTAAATGCGAGTGGCTTGGTGGAAAATGAGCAACTTTTTCCAAACATGTGAATGACTTCTAACAAGTCAACACTGAAATTGTGACTGTGATACGAAGGTGGGGTTTAACCTGTCAAAAGAGTATAGAAGCCATTTTCTAGGTTGTGTGTTGAAGCCAAGGGAATTTGTGCCAATTCCAGTTAAAAGAGTGCATTTATAGTGAGGTCTTGTGACTGTTACCCACCTCTGTGTGGGAATTATCTGCCTGCATCTTTACCCACTCTCACTCCCACTCTCTTTCATCAGTACCAAGAGAATCAGATGGCTCTGCTGCAGAAGGACAGCACAGGCACAGCCCTGGAGCTGTTCTGGGCTGGCACAGGGCTGTGCCTCTGCACCAAGGGGAGCAGCAGCTCGCACACAGAGCATCACGCAGCACAGCTCTGCTGCAGGTCTTCTTCTCAGTAATCCACTTCCCTTCTTACTTGTCATTACTTTTTATGGTCCCTTTTTTAGAGAGAGAAAACAGGCAGGATTTGCATCGCAGCTTAGTTTCAAGGTGAAAATTAATGCAGCTTGGGAAAAGGCAAACTTGTTAGATGTAGAGGTACTTGTTATACATGGAAAAAATACTGGTTTAGACTGCTGTTCTCTTCCAAGCCCATCCTAAGATTTACAAAATACAGTAAATATTTCTAATTGGCTCAACTATCATCATGAGACCTTTGAGAAAAAACTTTTATCACTTTCTGAGGAAAGTACTAGCCTAGAATGATTGCTGATAATGCCTGGGACTGTGTTTTCCAAAAAAGAGCAGGAGGAAAGATCCAACAGCTTTTTTCTTTTTTTTTTTTTTTTTTTTTTAAGGTGGCTTATTTCTAATTAGTAATATTAAGTGAACCTAAACACCATCTTGCAAGTATTTTTCTAATGCCTGCTGCTCTGTATAAAGATGGGATGTAAATTCAGATAGTGTCTGCCAGTAATACAGCCCTGGGCTAAATCTGTGATGCAGCCCTGTCACTGAATTAATTAATTAACTTCATCTGTGTGTCTTGACTCTGGCCATTCAAAGGGGGGTATAGTTTGACAGGTGCAAGTGGCAGTGTTGCTGTTTGGTGGGCAGGCTGGAAGATAACAGAGATGCTGCACGTGAAGGGGCATTAGGAATTTTCAACTATAACCACAGGAGAATTTTGATCAGCTTTGATTATACTGATGGTTTGTCTATCTTCAGCTTGGGCAACACACAAAAAACCCTGAGCTTCCTCAGATGTCAGCTCCTTTTCTCATGAAGGGAAAATAAAGGCTGCTGATGGTTAGTTTCAGTTACCAAGAGAGGGAACCTTCCTATTTGCTGGGTGTGGATGCACACAGGGACCAGACTACAGTGTCATCACCCCTGTTAGCTGTACATGAATTAACACACATGAGCCATAATGTCAGCAAAGATCAAGTACACAGGATTTAGGGCCAAGTAAAAATGTTTTATATTTCACAGATTCGTAAACTGCTCTAGTTTAGAACATTCTGTTTGAGTCAGCTGCAGTCTGCAAGTTAGTTATCTATATACAAAATAAATGCACAGTACGTGCAAAATTTAACATTTTTCTGCATGTTGCAGTCTTAATTATTAAGTCAAATAGCTTATGAATAAATAAAATAAGATTAAATTCAAGAGCATTCCTTCACTTATTTGTATAGCCTGATGTAGCAGATAGGTAAGTAGCATAACATTCCATACTGCTGCAGAGTTCGTAGTAAAACCAAAAAATCCCTTAATGTGCATCATTGCAGCACTGGAATACAATCAAGGTGAAATGCATCATGCATAGAAAATGAGCTCAGGTATCTGTCCTCCTTGTACTCCGGTCCCATTGGTGCTGTCCGAGGAGCACTGGAACTGGAACGTCACTTTCCCGCACTGCACTTCAGTCATTCCCTCTTGTCCAAAGTAACTGAGTTCGTTCCCATCCAGAATAGCACTTACATTGTAAAACGTGTCTTGCTCGACCTGCACGGGGTGCTCAAACCACACCGAGAAGGTGTTGCTGGAGCCGTCGGAGGTAAACTTGGTCAGGTTCTGAGCAAGGACCACGCCTAAGCGCTTCAGTTCGATTTTGACGCTGTATTCAGCTTTGCCACAGCTCGACCCATACAATCCCAGTCCCGCTATAAATATCCGTTTGTCTACGGCAAACTGAATACTGTCACAGCGGCCCCGGTACCGCCACTGATTGCTGCGATACGCAGACGACTGGAACCGGTGGCAGCGCTGAGGCACGAGTCCTTTCCTTTTCGTCAGGGGGAACTCTAGTTTGGGTTTATTTGCGGCCGTGTACCATAGGAATATGTTGTGAGTCTCCTCGAGGGTGAGGATGTCGGACTGGGCAGCTCCGTTGGCAAACTCTTCCAAAGTCATGGTTGGAATCCGCACCAAGTACAAAGCTTTCCCTAATACATTCCTCTTGTTGCGAGGCGTCACCGGCAGCCCTTGCCTTTTGCATTCGGCCTCTGCCCAGTTAAGAACAGCCTCGAAAACTACCACCTCCTTGGTGTTGAGTGCTTCCCGGGTCACAATGATCTCTAGCGTCTGTTGATCTATCTCACAGAAGCCCTCTGACTTCAGTGCCATTTCTGCCTGAGCATCAATCACTTCCCAGCAGCGCTGCGTCAGCTCTGGCTCCTCGAAGAGCCTGCTCTGAGACAGCAGGACACAAGCGTTCTTCGCCTCTAAGCTGGTCTCCAAAAAATTGACGCAAGCCTTCGCTAGGGCCGGCACGATGTACTTCTTGGCAGCATAGAGTGTAGCCAGAACTGTGTCAGCTTCCAGGTCTATTTCATCGCTATACATGTATCTAGACGGAGGGGTGAAAAAAAAAAAAAAATTTAGTTTCTCAGGGAAAAAAAAGTAGGCCATGAAAATAATCTATATTCGTCTTTGCTGGCAGTGAATCTGACATTCAATATTTGTCAGCACATTAAGTAAACAGCAATAAGTGCATATTGCACAATGTCAATTAGGAGATGTATATTTTATAAGCTACTTTGATTCTGTCCATGTAATTAGCAGACTTGTAGTGGCCACTTACTTTAATAGGATTAGAAAGGCTGCAGGTTCCACATCTGGTATATGGATTTCAGATTTGACCTCTGCGAGATCGCCATAAAACATAGCATAGAAGACAGAGCTACCAACTGCCAAAACATACTGGAAAATAAAGAGAGAGAAGCCTCAGTAACGCGGATCAGGAACAGCTGAGCGTGCTGGCTTTCCTAAAAGCTACATTTAGCGAAAGTTACAAGCTGCAGTGGAAGCAGAACACTGCCTCAGACTGCTGCCTTTAATTGCAGTGTATATGCGAATTACTTCTGGGATTAGACAAGAGCTATAATTAGGAAACAAAAAAAGTGGAACCTAGTTGTAAGGCAGGGGGAAAAGGCGACCTGCGCAGCAGCATTAAAAAGCCAAATATTATCTGCACAAACCTTATGGGCAGGAACTTTCTTGGATGCCCCTGGCGGGCCCACGATGAAGTGAACGTCAGCCATGAGTTCGTTATTGAACATCAGCGCGTTCCTGCAAGCAGGGGAGGGGGGAGAAGCCGCGTTAGCCGCGG